TGCGCGTCCGGAGCCTGTGCTCCACAACGGGAGGGGCCACAACAGTGAGAGGCCCGCGTACCGCAAAAAAAAAAAAAAAAAAAAGTACAACAGTTCTTACTTTTCTTCTGGCTACAGTGGTCAACCAGGAGTGACCCACATGGATTAGTCTCTTCATTGTGATCCAAAGACAGGTTTTGAAGGATCAGGGCCATATGCAATTCCAGAACAGTGGATGAGCCAAGAAATATATTAAGAATTTATTACATGATCATAGACCATTTTTTTAGGAGTGGCAGGATGATTGTTTTCCGTAGAATTCACTCATCATTTCTGAGCATGCATCTCTCCTGGCAGGACCTGACAGTAATGAATGCTGGGTGGCAAGGCCAAACCCAGTCACAGGAAATCCATATTGTGGATGTTTAGATTTACTTCGTTAGGTCAAGTTCCTGCCAAGAACTCAGAAGTATAGGAAACTGGTACCAAGTGAAAGGTTTTGGAACGTGAGCAGAAGGAATGCAGAATTCCTGTGTATTTTTGTTCCAAGTAATAACAGTCTCTCCTCATTTGTAAATTTCCCCTTGGGTCCTGAAATCATGGTCTCAGCTTCCTATTTTTGTTTTCCTTTGCAGTTTCTTTGAATTAGGTGCTTGAATAAAATGTGCATGGGTTTGTGTGTGCGCCCCGTGTTTGTGTATGGCTGAGCAATGTGACACTTAGTAACGGATAATTCTTTTGGATTTAAAGCTTGCAGTCCTGGGAGCCTGCCTTTGTCACGGTCCCAGAGGGAGCCCCTGTACCTGTGCCAGACTGGCAGCATCTACTCGGAAAATGCTCCTTCAGGTCAAACAGGAGGTATTGTGTTATCAAAACAGTAAAAGCTTTGGTTTTGCTTCTCCATTAACACAAAGCAGAATAAATGGAAGTATATGTAATAATTAGCTTAATTTGGTAGTCTTTGGCTATGGAACTTATTCTTAGTTTTAAATGATAACATTAACACATAAACTGGATTTTATTTACATTACTTGGCACGATATTGCAGCCATGAAAAGTTGTTTGCCTGTGTTTTAGTTAATATTTCCTAAGTTCATATTTCTTTTGTCTATACATGGCCCTAAAATTACTAGATATTAGAGGAAAAGGCACACATGCTTAAAATCACCATGATGGGGCTTCCCTGGTGGTGCACTGGTTGGGAGTCCACCTGCTGATGCAGGGGACACGGGTTTGTGCCCCGGTCCGGGAGGATCCCACATGCCGCGGAGCGGCTGGGCCCTTGAGCCATGGCCGCTAAGCCTGTGCGTCTGGAGCCTGTGCTCCGCAACGGGAGAGGCCACAGCAGTGAGAGGCCCGCGTACCGCAAAAAAAAAAAAAAAAAAAAAAAATCACCAGGATGTGCAACACCGATTAGCCGAGAGATAAACATGAAGCTTATTAGAAAAGCTGCAAGGTACAGTGGAAGGAACCTTTGTGCCAGCCAGACCTAGGTTTGAATCTCAGCTCCATCATTTTCCAGCTTTGTGGCTTTGGACGCGTATGTTAAATGGAGGCTAATAACTAGTTTGGAGGGTTGTTGTCAAAAATAAACATGGTAGACATATAATGTTTAGCACCGGGCCATGCCTGGCATTTAATCAAATGATAGCTGCCATTATAATTAGGCTTTCACAACAAATACAGTATGGACCATAATTTTTAAAACATTTTTATTGAAGGTTTGGAATTTAGTCTTCAGAGTATATATGAAAGCAAGCAGCTAAACATTAGCAATTCATCAGGAAAAGCATAAGATTACAAAGATCAGAGTCAGCTGTGGGAGGTATCTGAAAGATGGTATTCATAATTGTTTTCAGTGGTATTTTCTGGCATGGCCCAAGGCAGAACTGAAATGCAGCCATTGGCATCCTCCCTTCTTCCTCGTTGGGCAGGACATACACGAGGCCCGTCTAGGATAATGAGGTCTAAGAGTAGGATTACCAGGGAACTGATAGGCACAAGAGAAACTCCTGGTAATCTAGTTCAGAGTGGGCAGCTACTGCAGAAGAGAATGGCATGTAGTAATTAGATTAAGCGGATGCAATAGATCAAGGGCAGGCAGAAAACTCCTACTAGGCAGGGAGACTGCATTTGCTAATCTGACTCAGCATTCAGGAAAGAATTGTTCTGGTTTTGCCTCTAACACCTCTCAAACTTTCTTTCAAAACCAGTTGGAACTTCTGCAGAAGAGTAAAGAAGAAGCCTACATAATGGCAGATGCATTCAGAATTGCATTTGAGCAACAATTAATGAGGAAAAATGACCAGGCACTAAGATTGACACAAATGGATAAAATGTGTAAGAAAGCAACAAAAGGGACAAATTGGAAGCACCTTAAAGATGATGGTAAATATGGATTATAATGGTAATAATCAGGTGTAAGGTAATTTCAGTTGTTTTTGGTTATAATCATAGTTGATTAAGCAGTTAATATGGTGACTATAATTGAAATTTCACATATAGTTATGATTTATCTAAACATATAACAACCATGGGAAAAAAGGAGTCACTGGATGTTACTTACGCAGATGAAACCATAAAATAACAGGAGAGTCTCTTTTTTGGTAGAGATTTTTAGTGGAAAAAATTTATAATAAGAGCACTAGAACCCAACATTAAATCTATCTATCTAATTAAACTTTATTGAAATGTGTGACTTTGGAAGGAGACACTGAACAGTAGAGAAATAATCTTAAATTGGACAAATAAAATATTCTTATAAAAAGTGAAACAGAAGTTAAGGTTTAGGTTTTGGTTCACAAGCCTATCAAAAGTTCATGGCCATTTTGGAGTCATGGTATTAGTGTAAACAAAATATACAAAAATGGCATGAGAGAATAAACTGCCATTGAAGTATGTAGACTGTCCAATATAAACAAAGTAACTGTTATTTTTTAGAAATTTTAGTTTCTCTAAATGGTCAATCTCAATTTTCATTTGTAAGTATTATTCAGTAGGCTTCATATTGCTTCAATTTAAAATTCCAATTTGAAACCATTTATCAGTCAAGAAAGATTAAAGTGAAGTTTGTTAAAAAGTGTAAATTTTTAGTATTCAGATTCTGACATGACCCTGTTTCTAAATCTTTTTTGACAAAATCCATAATCCTAGTTCTAGTATCTCTCATTTTCAGATGAATTTAGGACCAATAAGAATCTTCTAGTATTAAAAATGAAACTTTTAATAGTAGATACCTAATTTTGTTTGAAATATCTCTTTTCAAACAGTGCATATTAGCATTAGTATATGGGTCACGTGTTGTGAATTTTAGCTTCATTAACTAAACTTTACCCACCTCTGCTGAAGTGTTAAGAAACAGCTTATAGGGATAATAAAAATAGAAGTAGTAAACAAGAACTGTGAAAGCAGGTGAAAGCAGATTATAAAAGCTATGTATTTAGTCAGGTGGAAGTCAGGGCAAAAGGGGGGGAAATAATGTTCCTCCACTCTTGTTCGTTCTTAATCAGGCATTCCACATTGTACTGAAATTAACTTCTAAAGGTGTTTTCTGATATGAGACTTACAGAGGCCAGTGAGCAAATATAATGGCTAAGTCCTCAACAGTCACTTATAATAAAAAAATAATTAGTATTTATATGGCTGTTTTCTATAATAATCCCTTGATAAAACATAAAGGTATAACCTTAATGTCAAGGTAAGTGGTTTGCCAGGGGAATAAGCTAACATAGTCCAATGTACTTAATTAGCCTTTGAGGAATTGGTGGAAAACATTAAGAATATGTAGTTCTCCCGTGAACAACAAATGTGTAGGTGATCTTCCTCAAGTACCTCTTCTTTCAGTGAGGCCCTTGATAGGAGCTGGATTGCAAATTTTCAAAGGTATACTCTCAGAGGGCAGCCTAGGTGTTTTTTGTGTTGTTAACTGAAGTCAAATCCCTTTGAAAATCTGATTTTGTTTTGATGGAAGGTAGAGAGAAGAGTAGGGAGAAAGAATAGAAGCGGTAGATTCATATTCAGTTCAGCACTTGTACTCATTTTATATTCCAGAATTCCTGCCTTTCTTAGCTTTTTACAGAATTCAGGAACTTCTCCATAGAAAATACGATTTGAGAGGTACAGCTCCCAATCTTTGCTTTCCGTTAAGGTACTGAGAGAGACTGGAAGCAGAATTTAAAATAATTAGTTTATCTCTGAAAAGCCTTTACAAGTCCATAAAAGGTTTAGCAGCTCTTTGTTTCTTAGTGACAAGACTTTGATTCATTTTAATATACTTCAGTAATCTGGTACAAGATGACTGTTACAGGTCATTTTCTTATTTGTGGTTAACACTATGTTAACTTTTCTTCTTGATAAGGCTGCTTAGACAAGTTCTGAGAGAGAGCTTATAAGCATGTTTCCTTTTTTTTTAGATTGAAAAGAGAGACAGATTCATCCACTCTCAGAACTGGTGAGCTGGTCAACTTGTCCGGCTTTTCCCCCTTGCCACAGCTGCTATTGAAAAAGGTCAGGTGTGAGGCCCAGTCACTGTGGTTTATCAGGATTGGGTGGAAAGGGAATTGTCCCTTTAGACTTTATCTGATCATTAGACCATTTGCACAGCATTCTAAAAACATTCTTGAAACTTTCTTTGTATAAATCTATAAATTTTGTATTTTCTGCTACAAATTGCATCCTTTCTGTGGATGAAGAAGAATATCAGTGTACATATTGCAGGATGTGGACTTTTAAGCATTATGTCAGTAGCTGGGCTAGGTGCTTTCACAATTGTTTTTTTTTTTTGTGATAAAATATGCATGAAACTTACCGTTCTTTTTTCTTTTAAGTAGGTACATTTTTTTTTAACATCTTTATTGGAGTATAATTGCTATACAATGGTGTGTTAGTTTCTGCTTTATAACAAAGTGAATCAGTTATACATATACATATGTCCCCATATCTCCTCCCTCTTGCGTCTCCCTCCCTCCCGCCCTCCCTATCCCACCCCTCCAGGCGGTCACAAAGCACCAAGCTGATCTCCCTGTGCTATGCGGCTGCTTCCCACTAGCTATCTATTTTACGTTTGGTAGTGTACGTATGTCCATGCTTCTCTTTCACTTTGTCCCATCTTACCCTTCCCCCTCCCCATATCCTCAGGTCCCTTCTCTACGTCTGCGTCTTTATTCCTGTCGTGCTCCTAGGTTCTTTAGAACCATTTTTTTAAAACTTACCATTTTAACCATTTTTAAGTGACAAGAAGTCCATTCACATTGTTGTATAATCATCACCACCATCCATCTCCAGAACTTTTTCATCTTCCCAAACAAACTCTGTATCCCGTTCAATACTAACTGCCCACTCCCTTCCCCCAGCCCGTGCTCTATTATTCAATGGCACAGCAACCCAACAGTAGAGCATAGGTACTATTATTCTCATTCTGGAAGTGAGGATATGTAGCTCAGAGAACTTGTCCATCATGATACCATTAGGAAGTGGTTAAATGGGGATTCAAGTCCAGGTCTTTCTGGCTCTAAAGCAGAGTTTGCATGGTTCAGAGGCCACCTGTCTGCAGACATGTTTTGTTGGGAGTGAATAGTGTTCTCAAATATTGTGGGCCGGTGGCTAACCTTTACACTGGGAGATTTCATAAGCAAATGTGGATTGCTGGCTCCTTTGGAAGACTGAGATTATCAGGTAGCACAGGCTGCATTCTCCCATGGGCAGCTGCTGAGCAATGAGAGTGGGAGGGCGCTGCTCTGGGTTCTCACACTGTGGCCTCTCACCTGCGTTTGCAATCCTGGCTCTAAAGTCTGCTTTTGCCACTGCACTGCGCTGCCTGACTCACTCGTGCTAGAGGTCACCTGAAGAGGACAAGGTCCTGGCTGATTCAGGAATGAATTAGCCTTGGTTCACACTTAACCTCTTTTTCTGGAAGTACTTCAGTGAGTGTCTTTTTGTGTCTCAGCTGTATTTTCATGTTCCATTTTAGGGTTACCATCACAAAGGAGTAAGAAGACCTTAGGGCAGAAACTGTTGGGTATGCTCCCTCTGGAAAACAGTTCTAAGAGTACTGATGACCAGCATGATCCTCAGGAAGTCTTTAAGATGCTAACAGATTTGGTTAGTATCTTTGCTTTTTGTTAGAGGCTGTGGATGAGCTTATCTTTTTCCTTCCTATTAATTCAACTCTTTATCGCTCTATACTTGACTTTTATGCTCTGTTCCCATTTCAGGTACCATTTTCCAGAATCATGATCTTCATCTCCTTAAACACCCCACACATGCTTCCCACTTCTCCCATCCATGTTCTTCCTGTGCAGCTTTAAAGCTCCACCTCTGAAAAGAGGAGGCTCCCTGTGATTAAGTCCAGGAGGAGGCTCCCTGTAATTAAGTCCAGGCATCTCTGTCATCTGCGGTTACATATACAGTTCCTGACAAGACTTATATATTCAGGAATTTTTAAAGTGTTCAACGAACTTCCTCATGCATTATATCCTTTAATCATTACCACAACCCTGAAATCGGTCCTGTTATCCTCAATTTCATAGATGACTATACAAAGAAACTCATGTTATATGAACATACTTATCTATAGAAGAGTATTAAAGTTTATTTGCATATAAAAATATAAAAACAATTTTTATATAAATAACTTCAACATTCTTTCAGAGGTAAGTACATGTTGGTATTATATATACATATATACACATATACACACATACCATGTAAATATATACTTCTTTCTTTCTCTTCAGATGACTTAAAAATTTTTTCGATAGAAAGAACGCTGTTTTCTATTTTTCCTTTTAAAAAAAAATCCTCAATACCATGTAGCATAATGCTTAGGAATCAGTGGATACCTAATTGATTTATTCATACTGACTGGCTTAGATTGGAGGTTGAACATTTTCATGAAATACTTCTGACTATAGCTCTGTACTCTGTGATATACTAACTGGTATGTTTTTAATTTCTGTGCATGCAGTTAAATGATAAAGAAGAAGCTTTGGCTCATCAAAGAAAAGTTAGTTACATGCTTGCTCGGGCTTTGGAAGACAGAGGCACCACCTCAAAAGAGAATAAAGAAAAAAATCCTATGAAAGACAATTCTCCATTAAAAAACCCCTGGCAGAAAACTTCAGAATTCCCTGTTTTACATGATCCTGTACATTCAAGTGTTCAAATTTTTAATTCTGTGGGCTGCATTTGTTCAATTCAGCACTTTCAAACAGATCAATACCACACAAGAACTCTTAAAAGATCCTATTCTTTGCCATCAAATATCATGTACTGAAGACCAGTTGAAATTAGAACTGAGAGCTGTTTATATCGAGACTTTGAAAACGGACCATGTAAATGTTGCTACATCTTCAGAAGTTGTGTTTTCTGGGTATTCTAAATTTGGGGAAGCAGCTTAAATAAATGTTCTCTACAAGACATTTATTAGTGTTCTGTGTTGACATATTTATAAATTATATTACTATATTTTTGAAATTTTCAGTATTTGCCAACATCTTAAAAACAAAGAAATAGTGATTTTGAGAAGAAAATTAACTATTTAGATTGACTTATAGGGATCTTTGGCTCAAGCAACAAGAGTGTTAATTTTTGGAATACATTTATCTGGTTTTGTGTTTTTCTGGACTTTTCATTTGCCATATAAAGTTTAAAAATAATTTCCTTCACTTCAATAAAAAAGTTATTATGGTGGGACTTTGGCAGCAGTATATTCAAAGTCATTGCTAGTTACCTATTTCATAGCTTCCTTTTTCATAGCTTCCTTTTTGTCAGAGTGGTGACATTCTGTAGCCAGATCTATGCAGAATTCTGGCATTTAGGCCACTCTGAATTAACTTCTTGGTTTTGATGCTGAATTTTAGGCCATTTAAAATTATTTTCTCTTTCTAGAAATATTACATAGTAATAACTTTAATATCTTTTGGGAATATTACTATATTAATAGCATCACAATGATATCAAAGGAAGTGCATTACCTTGTCAGCAGTTATAAAACTTATCTCTAGTGAAAAGAAAAGATATTACTACTTAATTAGATAGTTAACAGTAGGATAATAAGGTAACAATATAAACCATTTATAGTTGTGTTATAGGAACAGCACTGGTTGGCATTAATAATAATAAAAGCTGAAAAATTGGCAAATACATTTTGAAAACAGGATTAATGAGCATCTACTGTTGCCAGATATTAAAATGTATTATCCTATCAACTATATTCCAATATAAAACAAAAATTAAATTAAAAAAATGTGTTGTCCTGATGGTAATACAAAGCTACATTATTTAAAACAGTGTAACAGCAGGTCAATGAGAATCGGATAAAGACCATACACAGACCTAGTATATATAATAATTTAACATAAAAGGTAGGGAAAGGAAGGATCTGGGATTATTTAATAATACCAAAGTGGGAAGTGTAAAAAAACAAATCACATTACAAAAACTAGAAAGAAGTATGTGTGTATATAAAACAAACTCAAATAAATTGATAAAATTTATATTCCAATTGATAAATGGACAAAGAATCTGAATCAGTCTCCTCAAGTAAAGGAAACAAAAGCAAAAATAAACAAATGGGACCTAATTAAACTTAAAAGCTTTTGCACAGCAAAGGAAACCAACAAAATGAAAAGACAACCTACTGAACAGGAGAAAATATTTGCAAATGATATGATAAAGGATTAATGTCCAACATACATAAACAGCTCATACAACTCAACATCAAAAGAACAAACAACCCAATTAAAAAATGGGCATAAGTCTTGAAAAGATATTTTTCCAAAGAGGAAATGCAGATGGCCAACAGGCACACGTAAAGATGCTCAACATTGCTAATCATCAGGGAAATGCCAATCAAAACCACAATGAGACATCACCTCACACCTGTCGGAATGGTTGTCATCAAAAACACAAATAAATGTTAGCGAGGATGTGGAGAAAAGGGAAACCTTATACACTGTTGGTGGGAATGTAAACTGGTGCAGCCAATGTGGAAAACAGTATGAAGGTTTCTCAGAAAACTAAAAATAGAACTACCACATGATCCAACAATTCCACTCCTGGGTATATATCCAAAAAAACCCAAAATCATTGATTCATAAAGATACATGCACCTCAATGTTCACAGCAGCGTTATTCACAATTGCCAAGGTATGGAAGCAACCTAAGTGTCCATAAACAGATGATGGATAAAGAAGATGTTGTATCTATACATACAGTGGAATACTACTCAGTCATAAAAAAAGAACGAAATTTTGCCATTTGCAGCAACATGGATGGACTTGGAGGGCATTATGCTAAGTGAAATAAATCACAGAGACTAATACTGCATGATATCACTTACATGTAGAACCTAAAAAAATACAACAAACTAGTGAATTTAACAACAAAGCAGCAGACTCACAAATACAGAGAACAAACTAGTGGTTGCAGGGGGAGAGTTCATATAGGGGTGGGGAATGGGGGTACAAACTATAGGATGTGAGACAGGCTCAAAGATGTATCCTACAACACGGGGAATACAGCTGATATGTTGTAATAGCTGAATGGAAAATACCTTTAAAAATTGTATTAAAAAAACTGAACCAACAGTTCACAGAGGAGGGATTAGCAACACAGTAGAAATCAAAGAAAAGTAAATTAGAATGAGGTATCAAATTAGCAAAGACCCCAAAGAGTATGAATGCTAGAGATGATGAAGTGAAATAGATTCTTACATAAAGGTTAACGAATGCATTCATTTGGGATACCGCATTCAATTTTTTTGCGTATATACTCAGAAGTGAAGGTGCTGGATCATATGGTAATTCCATTTTAAATTTTTTGAGGAAACACCACAGTTTCCCACAGCTGCTGGCACTGTTTTTATACATTCCCACCAATAGTTTACAAGGGTCCCAATTTCTCCACATGCTCACTGACACTTGTTATTTTCTGGGTTTTTTTGGTAGTAGTCATCCTAATAGGTATAAGGTGATAATCTCACTGTGGTTTTGACTTGCATTTCCCTAATGATTAGTGATGTTGGGCATCTTTTCATGGGTTTTTTTGGCCATTACTATATCATCTTTGGTGAAATGTCTATTTCAAGTCCTTTGCCCATTTTTTATCTGGATTTTGTTGTTGAACTATAACAACAACATATATTCTTCACAGATTCTGGATATGAACCCCTTATCAGATACATGATTTGCAAATATTTTCTCTCATTCCACAGGTTGCCTTTCCATTCAATTGATTACGTTCCTTTGATGCACACAAGCTTTTAATTTTGATATAGTCCAAATGGTCTATTTTTTACTTTTGTTGCCTGTGTTTTGGGGTCATATCCAGGAAGTCCCTGCCAAATCTGATGTCATGAAGCTTTCCCTCTATGATATTTTCTAAGAATTTTTATAGCTTTAGGCCTGGTGTTCAGGTCTTTGATATATTTTGAGTTAGTTTCTGTATACAGTGTAAGGTAAGGGGCTTCTTCATTTTTAAGAACTACTGAACAGTTACTGGGGGTGTAAACTGATACAACTACTTTGGAGAAATATGGCAATATCAACACTAATTGAAAATACACACTATGACCTCACGATTACAATTCTAAGTATGTACATTAGAGAAACGCTTGCATGTGCGTATAAACAATCCTTTTTAAATAACCTAAATGTCCATGTGACAGAATTCTCAAGATGGCCCTCTCATGATTCCTGTCCTGATTATTCAAGCACTAATCTAGTAACTGCTATGAAGGGATTTTTAAGGTGTGTAATTAAGCCCTGAGTGAGCTGACATCATTTATCAGGTGAGTCCTTTAAAAAAAAAAAAAAGGCAGAATTTTCTCTCTTGGCAGCGATGAGGAAGCCAGACAGATTTGACACTGTTGCCGGTTTGCAGATGGAGAGTGACATGCAACAAGGCAAGTGGACTGCCTTAAGAAGCTAAGAGAGGCCCCTGGCTGACAACCAGCAAGGATAAGGAGGCATGAGCATTAAAATGGCATGAACTGTATGAACTCGGAAGCAGATTCTTCCCTAGAGCTTCAGAGAAGAGCCCAGAGTCCAACTGACACCTTGATATTGGCCTATGCAAAAAAAACACAGTTGAGCCATGAGAGGTAACTGACCTACAGGACTGGGAACTAAGTTTTAAAGTTTTGAGTAAGAATAAAAATGCTGTATGAGATGTACTGTCTACCACTCAAATTGTGAGACCCAAAACAGTACTGTATACTACTACATGCATTCTTATAAAATAGCAGTATAAAATCATGGAAGGACACACTCATTTCCTGAGAGTCATTCTCTTTTGGGGAGGGTAAAAAGGAAAAAATAAAATGGAATGATGTATTAAAGGGTTAAAGGGAGCTCAATTTTATCTGTAATGTTATTTTTTTTTTCGTATTTAGTATATTAACATATGTTAAGTCAGGGTAGCAGGTATTTGGTATATTACTACTATCTTTCTATTTTAAAATAATACCCCCTTTACTACAAATCTGTAATGCTATATGGGCCAGATCATTAAAATAACTGATAGTTATTTTTATTAAGAATTCCTTAATGCATTTTCAACTCTACATTTCAGAGAATTAAACTTATCTTACTGTTGCACTCTAATCAGAAAAATCAGAATTAAGTTTGTTTTAAAATACATTTAATAAAATAACCCAGTTTTACATATTTTACATGAATAGAATATTTACAGATTTCTTTTAAAGCATTTAATTAATGTTTACTATTTTGCCTTTTTCACTATATCCTTCAGTAGTACAATATTGTCCAGTGTTCGCTGTAACTAAAAAATTAGCTTCTTGGGTAATCCTCCTGGGGGGAAAAATGAGGTTGTTTACATTTAATCTTATAGCAATTTTAACCAGTCATTGCATTCCAACTACCTCTATTTTTACTCGCTTTGATTTTCCAATAGCACTAGTTAAACATTAAGCATACAGTGTACCAGAAGGAATTTATGAAAAGAGCAGGATGCACATGGACAGTACTTGTAACTCTGAGGTATACTCAAAAGTGCCCATGTCCTTTTAAAAAGCATGATGTAAGTATTCTCAATGGAAGTAAACATAGCTAAAACACCACACTCAACTTTATCCAATTTAAATTTATACAAGTAAACAGGTCACAGTCTACATTTCTTAGCTGCCCTTCAGTCACTAGCTATATATTAGCTATCTGGAGTTTTCTGAATTCATTTCATTTCTTGTGAAAATGAGAGTTTTACCTTGTTCCAAGGCCTCTGTTCTCTTCCGTTTTGTTGCCATGGCTGGATTGGACTGCTCCTTTAAAGCGTCCACTGGACAGTTTGGTCTTGGCAGCTGACATCCAGGTGTTGGCCCTGGCCGATTACTGAAATACTTAGTTTTCAATGCCTTTAAGAAGAAAAGATACCAGAGCAAGTAAGGTTTTAAGTGAATATATGAACTGTGTTTAAGAAAAGCTAACCGCCAAAATTTTAAGGAGCATTAAAAATACTATGTGAATACCCCCCCTCCCCAAGCAAACTTAATTTCAAGTATTTCGACATGCAGATTACTACAAATAAACATCTAGCAGCCTAAGACTGATTGATAATTCCATTACTATAAGAAAAAGACACTACCTTCAAATTTTTCTACAATAGCCAAAGTACAAAATATCCATAGTAAGATGTTGTAAAATTCATCTCCCTACACATTATAGGCTCTGTAGTTCAAAACACAGAGAGAGACTCGTTTAAAAAGAACTTCCAAGTTTATTTGTCATATCTATAGGTATTCAAATTCCAAATCACATAAATTCTTAAAAATAAAGCTTTTAAAAAGATGTGATAGGTTGGAAACAATTGATTAAAATCCAACAATCCACTACAGATTAATAGAAATTTTACTTGGAAGGACTTGCCCAAGGTTACTTCTATTTACTACCAGTCCAATGTTCTATAATATGATATTTTTACTTAGTTCCAAAATTCCAATAAAAACAGTTTTATTCTAGATGACAAAGTTGTCAAGTTCATACTTTATCCGCATCATAGTACTGTTCAATAGCCACAAAAATTTAAGGTATTTCCTTCTGGATAATTCTTTTATGAACAAAAAGAAGTCATATAAATTTGTCAAGCATACCTCCCCCTACTTGCCAACGTAATATTATATGCAGTAATAATTTAGAGATTTCTTACTTCAGAAGAGTTGCATTTATAAAATATTACTTCCAAATCATAGCAGTTCCATAAGTAAATTAAACTAATTTTAAGCTACACAGAGATCTAAGAGGAGTATCACATTCCAACTTTTAGATATCTACAAGCCAAAGCCCATTAAAAAAATTCATTCTATCAAAATACAACCCAAGTAAGTCATCACAACTAGTATTTTTCTATATATTTTGAGTTTTACTATTAATGAAAACAACTTTCTAGATAATCTGACCTGGTGTCAAGTTTCTTATGATGGAGATAATATGCATATATGCATGAGTGAAAAGGTAAAAATGAGTTACTTGTTTGAAATTAGAAGAGTAATTCCAATGGTAAAATATCTAGTATATATATATATATTAATGTGGCATGTACTGCTACAAAGAAAAGGCTTGTACAAGTAAATGCATTAAACAATGATTTGGTAGTCTGTAATAAACTTAAGTGAAAAACAATCCACTTTGTATCTCTCATATATTGTACATTAATATGTTTTGTGAGATATGAAGATTTGTGACATTTCAATTGGTCTCTTCCTTTATGAAGGCAAATCATTGTACCGTGTTGCGTTTTTGCACTGCCTGTCCCTGCCCCAGTTTTGTGGGCTTGTTTTTAAAACAAAGAAAAAAAACCTTTTCAAATCTATAGGTCTTATATTTTTGTATTGGATAACATTTCTCTCTTCTTTTATAAGAGCAGGTATTCTTGGTCTTCCACATTTTTCTTGAGTTTCATTCTCATTTCCTTTAAATAACTCAGTTTCAGTGTTTTTCTGTTTAGAATACCTTTCAATCTCTTGTAAGTATACAGTTGTATCAGACTATACCATTTTCTCCCTATTATCACTTTCTGACTGTGACAATGACCAGAATGCATATTTGAACTGCATTTTATGGGGAAAAAACAAAACACTTTTGGCACTGATTTTAGCACAAAATTTTAGTTAATACATAAGAGTTTAATTGAAATATACCAATGCCTTAACAAATACAAAAACCTTTTTTTTCCTCTCTAGTGAACTATTTGAAAGCAAATTAATTATGAAATAGAAATGTATTTATATGTGTTTAAGCAAGAATAAACTCTCCTGTACTTGTGTGCATCATATACTTTAATACCAGTCTGAATAGTGCTTGTAGCTTAGGGAAAAAATAAAATTTGTTACTCCTTAAAACAAAACAGAAACACATCTTTTCGGTATTTAAAGAATGTTAGAAAATCTTAAGAAATTCTAAAGATATGCTAAAATACCTGTGTGGCTGTAATTCGAGTACACGGATTAAATAAGAATAAGCCTTGTATAAGATCTAGCAAGTCATCTCCTGCTGCAATGAAGATATGCTGTAACGGGATTCCAGGGAAACTCTTAAATGTCACGAAATCTGGAAGACTACACATGTCCTGTAAAAATATTTTTATAATCCAAACGTAAGTAAAGAATTGAAAGGCATGTAGATCTCAAATGAATAAATAGAACTGTCATACGGATGATATGATGATCTATGTAGAAAACCTCAAGAAATGTATTAAAAAACTCCTACAACTAGTGAGCAGACAAGGTTACAGGAAGGTAAACATAAAAAAATCAACAGTAGTTCTCCATACTAGCAAAGAACATGTGGACACTGAAATGAAAAACAATGCCATTTAGAATCACTCAAAAAGAATGATGGAATGCTCTGGTGAAAATCTAACGAAACGTGTAGGACTCATATACTGAAAGCTATACAATACTGATGAAATAAATCAAAGCTCTAAATAAATGGTGAGACCTATCATGTTCGTGTATTGGAAGATTCAGCACCATAAGGATGTCTATTCTCCTCAAATTGGTATACGGGTTTAATGCAATTCTTGCCAAAATTCTGGCAAAATTATTATAGATATAGACAGGTTATTCTAAAATTTATATGGAAAGGAAAAAGAACTAAAATAGCTAAAAACAACTTTGAAAAAGAATAGAAGCGGGAGGAATCAGTCTACCTGATATCAAGACTTAATATATAGCTACTTAATTAAGACTGTGGTATTGACAGAGGGAAAGGTATCATAAACAACACTGTCCCCTCCAAAGACATTTTTAATCTCATACCTCATATAAAAATTAACTCAAAAAGGATCACAGACTTAAATGTTAAATGTAAAACTATGAAACTTACAAGAAAAAGAAAATCATCAGGAATATCTTTTTGTTAGGACAAGAGTTCTTTGACTTGACATCAAAAGCATTATTCATAAAAAGAAAAATGATAAAAACAGACTTGATCAAAATTAAAAACTTTTACTCTGGAAAGACTGTGAAGAGGATGAAAAGACAAACTACAGTGTAAGAGAAAATTTGCAAACCACATATACAATCAAAGGACGAGTATCTCAAATATATAAAGTGCTCAATACTCAGCCAAAGTACAAACAATCCAATTAAAAAACAAGGAAAAGACAAGAAGAGACATTTCATTAAAGCTATACAAATGACAAATAAGTACATGAAAAGATATTCAACACTATTCATTAGTCATTAGGGAAGAGAAAATCCCTCAGAATGCTTAAAGTAAAAAAGTGACAAAACCAAATGCTAGAGAGGATGCAGAGGAAATGGATTACTCATATATTGCTGGTGAGAATAAAAAATGGTACAGCCCCTTTGGAAAGCAGTTTGCAGTTTCTTAAGCTAAATATGCAACCCATGACTCAACAACTGCACTTCTGGTCATCTGTCCCATAGAAATAAATGCTTATGCTTACACAAAAGCCTGTATGTGAATTTTTTTGGCCGTGCAGCTTGTGGGATGTTAGTTCCCCGACCAGGGATGGAACCTGGGCCCTTGGCAGTTAGAGTGCAGAGTTCTAACCACTGGACCGCCAGCGAATTCCCTTGTACATGCATGTTTATAATAGTTTTATTTGTAATAGCCCCAAACTGGAAACAATGCAGATGTGCTTCAACGAGTGAACAGTTAAGACAAACTGTGGTACATTCATACCACTCATCAATAAAAAGGAACGAATTATTGATAAAACCAACAATCTGGATAAATCACCAGAGAATTATGTTGAATGTGAAAAAAAAATCAATCCCTAAAGCTTACATATTATATGACTCCATTTATAACATTCTTGAAATGACAAAGTTATAAAAATGGAGAACATATTAGTGATTGCCAGAGGTTAAGGAAGGAGTAGGAGTGGAATGAAAGTGGGTATGACTGTAAAAGGGCTCTTTGTGGTGATGTCCTATATATTAACTGTATCAATGTCAGCATGCTGGTTGTGATTTTTATCCTAACTCTGCAAGATGTTACCACTGTGAGAAGCTGGGTAAAGGGTGCAAGGGATATCTCTGTATTTCCTTCTGCATGTAAATCAAAATAAGAATTTTTAAAAATCCACGGAAAACATCAGTAAGCAACTACTATTTAGAAAATCATGTCAAATAGTACAGAATAAATATTATGAACATGGCTCTGGAGTCACTAAGACCCAGACTGCAGCCCTAGCTCTGACACTGGGTAGCTTCAGGCAAGTTACTTAACCTCACTAAACCTCAGTTGTCTCATCTGTAAAATGGGAATAACAGTACCTACCTTAATAGGATTGTTGGGAGAATTAAATATAATTTATGAAACCCTACCATTAATGGCATACAGTAAGTGTTCAATAAATGAAAGCTATAAGAGCGTATTTCACAATTAGAACATACAGCCAACTTTCAATTAGAAAGTTGAGGAAGTAACAGCACAAAAGAAACTCAATTTCAGTTTCAGATAATTTCATTATAGTTTTAACCAGAAGATAAAGAGACTGATCAAAATTTCTCTTTTCTAGTATTTATTTTTTCCCCAGAAGATGAGGCTATAATAGAAAGGAAAATAAAAAGGTCTTCAATTATATTTTTTTTTTTTTTTTTTTTTTTTTGGGTTTTTGGGCCTTTCCCTTTTTTGGCCTCTCCCGTTGCGGAGCACAGGCTCCGGACGCGCAGGCTCAGCGGCCATGGCTCACGGGCCCAGCCGCTCCGCGGCATGTGGGATCTTCCCGGACCGGGGCACAAACCCGTGTCCCCTGCATCGGCAGGCGGACTCTCACCACTGCGCCACCAGGGAAGCCCCTTCAATTATAATTTTACAATGAACAAATGGGACTTCCCTGGTGGTGCAGTGGTTAAGAATCCGCCTGCCAACGCAGGGAACATGGGTTCAATCCCTGGTCCAGGAAGATCTCACATACCGCGGAGCAACTAAGCCTGCGAGCCACAACTACTGAGCCCGCATGCCTAGAGCCCGTGCTCCACAAGAGAAGCCACCGCAATGAGAAGCCCGCGCACCGCAACGAAGAGTAGCCCCCGCTCGCCACAACTAGAGAAAGCCCGTGCACAGCAATGAAGACCCAATGCAACCATACATACATACATACATAAATAAGAAAGAAAGAAAAAAGAATGCACAAGTGAGAATTTCACTGAACTGTAATATATAAAATTTAGCAATTTATCTTGTTTTAAATTTTATCACAGATTTAGTATTTCTTTTTTATAGACATGTAATGGTTTAAAAATAAATAACAGGGAGTTCCCTGGTGGCCTAGTGGTTAGGATTCTGGGCTTTCACTGCTGTGGCCCAGGTTCAATCCCTGGTTGGGGAATTGAGATCCTGCAAACCATGAAGCATGGCCAACAACAACAAAAAAATTATAATACTAAAAAATCTTGATTGTGTTAGTGAAAATTCAATAAATACACCCAAATCCATCAAGATATTGATAAACTAACATGGAACATCCATAAAATTAAATATTATATGGCTTAAAAAGGTCAATAATATTAAGTAAAGAGCAAGTTAGTTGCAAAAAAAATTTGTATGGTGTGATCCCTATTTTGCTAAAGAACAAAAGAAAAAGCAACTCTATATGTCTATATGTGCATATGTGTTTGTGTATGCATCCTCATAGCAAGACTTTACAACAAAATAAGAGTGATTAACCCTGGAATGGGAATTACTGGATGGGAGAGGGCTATAAGTATATAGAAGGCTGGATGGTATATCATAATTTTAACTTTTACTTTGTATAACTTTTGCAATGAGTATATATTATTAATAAATTAAGACAATTAGTACATTTCTTACGTAATATTCACATTATACACTATACAGAATTCTAACTAAATTTTAAAGAACATGTATGAAGGCTTACAGGCCACTGTTCTTCAGTTGGTGTGCCCAAAGTTTCAAATATTCTTGTTAGTTGATCAAGGTCTGAATCTCCTGGCAAAAAAGGAACCTGAAAGAAAGTGAGAGGCAGCCACTTCAAGATAGTTTTTGATAGCTGTTACATAAATAATACTATAAATTTAATTTAATAAGAAACACTAAACTATAACAAAAATTTAGTCTGAGGCATACTGGATATGGCATTAGATCCTGCCATTGCTATCCAAGTAAAGAGTACCACACTGTCCATTTTATTCACGCCTCTCATCTTTAATAAACACTTACCATGTAAGAGGCACTGTGCTAAGCCCTAGGCATTTAAACAAGGGAACAAGACAGTCCCTGCTCTCCCCTGGGGTGGACATGGTGAACAACGATGATACCAGTAAAGCAGTATTTACAAGATGATGTGCTCAGTGAGAGCACAGGATAGGATCCTAGCCTATATGGGAACAGCACCTAACCCACTCTGGACAGGTGAGGGAAGGCTTCCTACAGGAAGTGGCCATGAAAGTTGACAGATGAAGATGAGAGTTGCCGAAAGAAAAGTCTAAGATGGAAGAAGAAAACTATCCTAGCAAAAGGGCAGGTACAAAGGCTGGGAGGCAAGAGAACACATCTCTATTCCAATATTATTTAAACAATCTCTTGGCAAATTCTTTCTTTGAAGAGGTATACTGGCCAACTTTAAGAGGATAAATAAGTTACATATATACAGTGGAATATTACTCAGCCATAAAAAGAAACGAAATTGAGCTATTTGTAATGAGGTGGATGGACCTAGAGTCTGTCATACAGAGTGAAGTCAGAAAGAGAAAGACAAATACCGTATGCTAACACATATATATGGAATTTAAGAAAAAAAAATGTCATGAAGAACCTAGGGGTAAGACAGGAATAAAGACACAGACCTACTAG